GGTAACCATTTTGGAGAATAGTTGACCCCCCGCCACTCCCCCACCCCTGCATGCTGGTTGTTTCTGCGGAATAAATACTCTTTGTCTTTGAATACTATCTGAGTCTGGGGTCTTCCCTCAGCAATTTTCAGACTCTTACACTTGATTGGAAGAAATTTATCACCTGCACAAAGTAAAAAGCCCAGGTGTTTTCCTACAAAAGTAGGAACCTAGGCTGACCAATAGTTTAAGCAAGAACTCAATCCTTTCATTAGTCTATGCAATGTTGACACATTTAATTTTGAATTGTCTTGCTTGTTCCTTGACTTTTTGCATCTATTTTATTGCTATTTCTTCAACCTAGAACTGACTTTAATACTTGCATGTAATTAAAATGGTATAAAAGCAGATTGGGAAAAATAAAAAAAAAAGAAATATAAAGACAAAAAATGCTTAGAAGAAAGCAGTTAACTTTCCAAATGAAACCAGGATGTTTGGTCGCCTCAAAATGTTCTCATTGTAGCTCCATAGATAGTGTGAATAAAATAAGATGTTAGCGCACTAACAGTACTGTATGGAAGCCTTTGTGATTCTGTAATTTGGGGAAAACAAAGTACACATGTTTGATGATATCAATTTGGTTTATGTTCTTTTACTTGCCTCAATTGACCAATTAATCTATCCACCCAGGTCATTCAATAAACACAGATTTTCAAGTTAAACCATCAAGTCTAAAACCAAAAGTGGGTAAGTTTGTTGATTCTTGATTATGAGATAAGAGTCTATCCCAATACCCTGTACTGTATTTATTCTTGAATTTCTATCCCATCTCAGAGAAATTGGGTTCGTTATTTCCACAATGAATTGTCAGAATATTGATTAAATCCTTATCTCCTTGGCTCATACTCTATGCTCTCTTGCAAGTTATGGTGGTCTGACTGAGAAATGCCTCTCATAGACTCATGTGTTTGACTACTTAGTCACCACTTGGTAGTACTGTTTGTGAAGGTTATAGAATCTATAGAAGGTAGAAACTTGCTGGAAGACGTCCATCACTGGGAAAGAACTTTGAGGGTTTTTAAACTACATTCCATTTCCTGTTTCTTCTCTCTGCTTCTTGTGACTGGATGAAATGTAATCAGCTTCTTGGTTTTGACTTGCTATTATGCCTTCCTTATTATGAAGTGTTTATCTCTGTGCAACCACTGACTAAAATAAAGCCTTTCTTTCTTAAAGCAATATTTATTTTTGTGCTATGTAAATGTTTTCTATGCATTTATTTTTGTAAACCATATGAGAACCTGGTTCCACCAGAGGCTGGGTGAGAATGTACTGGATCTCCTGGAAATGTAGTTACAGATGATTTTAAGCCACTAAATGGGTGCTGGGAGCCAAAGTGGGGTCCTCCGGAAGAGCATTAGGTGCAGTACCCTTAGCTGCTGAGATATTTTTTCAGACACTTTGTTTGGTTTTGCCTTAAAGAATTACTTGCTCCATGAGGTTTTGAAAATTATTTGGAGAGGCCAAGTATGTGTGAAGAGAAAAAGTGCTTGGGTGTGGTAGAAGCCTATTTACCCTCATATGACCTAATCAAATTGATTTTCTCATGTGCTTCTAACACAGCCATCATTAGTATTAATGTGATATCTCACCTGTAACTTAATATGCTAATATTTATTTTATTCTTTTTTGTGGTATATGAATGTTTATATGTATTAGTATGCCTTCCTGTGTTTATATGTGTCATGTCTTGTATGTTTGTGTTCATGTGCATGAATGTGTGTATGTGCAGACTAGAAGTCAATGTACAGTATTTTTCTATTGATTTCTACCTTATCTTTTAAGACAGAGATTCTCACTAAGTCTGGAGCTCAAAAATTGGCCACATTGGCTGGTTCCTCGGATCCTCCTATCTCTGCTTCCCTAGAGTCGGTGGTCACAGACATATTCTACCATATTAGGCTTTGTTGTTTGTCAGTGTTGATGCTCCATCCAGATGTAGGTTGTCATGCTGGCATAGCAAACACTTTACTCACTGAGCCATCTTCCCAGTCCTGTGAATGACTTAAGATAGGAATATTATCTATCAAGAGAGAGTCTGAATGAGATAAGTTTCTCTAATAATAAAACTATTGTTTGAGAGCTAAAGAACCTACAATCTTTCTAGCCCATACCCATTCAACAGATCCCAATTTACTATTTAAAAATAAGCAGAATGAAATGTAATGTGCAAATTATAGTAAAAATGATAATTTATTGAGTGAAAAAGTTTCTATTCATTCCATTGTATAGTAGCTTGTGCCAAGAATCATTTAGCATTCAAATTGAATGTCATCATGCAGTCAGGCAGCAGTGGCTCACCTAAAAGTGCATACACAGACACAAATGATTGAGAACTATTACAGTTAAGACTCAGAATGGTTTATACAACTTGTCATGGCAGACTGCATGCACATATCCATTAGGTGTTAGCATAAAAAGACAACAAGTGAGAATATGAAAATATATGAGCAACATTCACATCATACAGAATTCCTGAGAATAGTGTGTGCTGTAAATCTTCGAGAAAGAATTTATATTTATATGAAAAACACGTATAAAACATTTCTCTCAACTTAAGTAGAGTGATCTGATCTAACAAAACTAACATACTGTGAGGGTCTGTCTGTTTTGCTATCGGTGATGATGAAACAAAGTTTGATTGTCCTGCACTGTTTAAGGAACAAATACACCAGATAATTTTTTTTTTGGTTCTGTTTTCTCTTATCCATCTGAAAAATAGCAGGCAAGATTTTTTCTAAATTATTATACTATAACATTAATTAAAATATCTTTCTCTGTTCATATCAATCAATATTATTTAAACCCCAATGGTGTATAGAAAACCCTAGAAAAAGAATTCTCAAGGAAAAGACTGTTATTGTCTGTCCTACTGTAAGACACATGTCAATCTTGCATCCCTAATTTGGAAAAATGTAAATGTTAGGTAAACAAAATATCCTCAGGTCTGTGGATACATCTAGTTAATGAAGAAAAGGGAGCACAAATGCTCCAAAACAGAGGAGCTGAAAATCCTATTTGATAATTGATGAAATCAGCCATTATATTTTTAATGGAAGAGTCCCAGGAACAAGGATTTGTGTTGAAATTCACTTTGTACTTCATTTTATTTACACTTATTTTCTTTGTTTGTTTGTTTTGTGGTGCCAAGAGTGGAGGTTATGTGTTCCATATGCATGCTACACACACTGCCACTGAGATACATCCCCAGATCATGTGGAAGACGTTAGAATCTCTGGCTGTATGCCTGGCTCAAAATCATAGGAAAAGTAGAGAAGCGAATATCCTGGGCAGAAACTATAAAGCAACCATAATCAAGTAAACAAAGCTTTTTAAGTGTTAAAATTGGGGCAGCGTACTTCCAATAAGTGAAAAGGGTATCCTTGATAAAGAATTACTAATATGTGTACCAAGTAGTGTTATTTATTTGTGTGTGACTAATCTAACATTTTACATTTTGTAAACATTTTTGATTTGCTTAATTGAACAAAACAAAAATGAACAAATAATAGAAATCATAACAGCCATGTGTTTATTTCTATAATATACCCTGCTCCTTCACTCCCTCACTTTCTTTGTATTATGCCCCCTTAATTAATGTTTCCTCTGAGATTCTTTTAGTTGAATATCCCTTCGTGCCCCATCAATGTGGGATAAAGTTGAAATTCAAATAAGGATTCTACAACAAATTATGATCGCAACTAAATTGACTTTGTTTCTAGAGCGAAACTAGATAAAATCAACTCATCAAAAAAACAAAACAAAAAAGAAACAAAAAAAAACAAAAAAACCCCCAGAAATCTCCCTTCTATGATGAAAAAGTGAAACTCAGAAAGGAGTTTTATGTAAATAATACACTCCATGCATGCATTATTTTCATTAGCTCATAACTGAGAATGCACATTATAGAAAAAGCATAAGTGTTGCAGAACATTTGGCTTTGGATTTCCTGAATAAACAGATTATAGTAACATCCTGTGTAACTGGCCTTAGACTGGAACTTGCATTACACAGTTTAAAGTGCAAATATATAAGGAACATTGGCATATTTACAAAGTTTCAACATAGCATTCTGTGAGATTTGTAATCATTCAGAGAGGGGCACATAGAATAGAATAGAATAGAATAGAATAGAATAGAATAGAATAGAATAGAATAGAATAGAATAGGATAGAATAGAATATAGCCTTCTGCAGTAAAATACAAATTAATCATGTTCTAATGATACAAGAACAGCCATTCAAATATTCAAAGTGGAGCTATTGGCATTTGTTAACAAAATGGACAATGCACTTGGCTCTGAGTGATAAAGAAGACTTGAACACAGCCAATCTAATAGAATTATTCCAGTGGTGTGCTTTTGGGGAACTTGAACCTTTGGTTTGACTACTATAGTGATGGTCAGCTCTTTAAGTGCATAGTCGACACAGAGCAGCATAAATGCCATGTGCATATATTTGTTATATCAAAGAGACAAAGACAACTCCACAAACCTGTAATCTGAAGGAACATGGGGTTCTGACATCAGAGCCAACAATTGATTTAACTCACTTATTGTGAATATCTGAGCTTATATGTAAGTCCTAGAATCCAATTAGTATTTCCAGTTTATGAACATTTATGTGGAAATTTGTCCCTGGAAATTTCACCACTACCTTTCCTATTTGTTCTGCAGCTAATGGTACAGAATGGCCTCAAAACACAAAACTTCCCTGAAGGCTTGCTCTGAGAATCAGAACCTGGCTCCTGGCCATTCAGTTGCAGCCCTTTGGAAGTCAAAAGTCTTTTCTTCCCTTAGAAGTCTGAGCATTCTAAATCTCATAGGCTGCTATGATGTATTTCCAAGTAGCATTTTACAAAATAGTTTGGCAAGTATTCCTTTCCCTTGGATCCCATCCATATCTCAAGTGTCTCATTCTTGCACACTAATGGTACCTCCTCCTTTGGGTAATAGGTACTGCCTAAGGCCATTCATGGTGAATAGGCTGACCACTTTTTCTTCTCTGTTGCTGTAAATGTTCCAGTTCAGCCTCATACATCATTTCTTGAACTAAGTATTTCTCTCGTCGTATGCGCTCACGGAGGCCCTTTGGTATATCAGGAATCAGGTATGCAATGAATGACTTAATGCCAAAAACAAGATGCTGTAAAGGTAAAGATAAAAGTACATTTTCAAAGGCTCCAGAGCACTCACTATAAAATAGAAAAGTCATGAACAATGATGCATTTGTCTCAAAATCAAGCATCAGAACGTAGTGTGTAGCATTTAGAATATTGCTTCCAAGACTTATATTGTAAGTACAAATTTTATTGACAATCACCTTAATTAGACACCAAAAAGTTGTTTCCTCTCGTTAATGCTGTATAATGACATCACTGCATAAAAAACATCTTATAGTACACATTAATAGACACAAATGTATATTCAATAGACAAAAATACAAGCAAGATAAACGTGTAAGCCAGGGATTAGACTCAGACTCAATGAAGTATTTTTCAGAAATTCTATTATATAAGTTCACTATCACTATTACTACTATCAAGACTTTAATTTGTGTTACGTAATTTTGGTACACTATATACTATTTGTGTTTTGAGAATAAACTGGCAGTAGTGGGGGTTTGTTGGTTTTGTTAGTTTGCTTTGAGAAATAATTTTGCTATTATTTTCTGCTTTGGCTTAGAACTTGCTTTATAGATCAACTAAAAGAAATCCACCTGCCTCTATGTCCTGTTTGGTGACACTAAGGTGAGCACTACCACACCCAGCCTAAGTGTTGGATTTGAACAAATAAAAATGGAACTCAAAAGGCATTATACTTGTAAGTAAACGTCTAGTATTTGAATGAAATCAATTAAATCTTCATCCTATAGAGACTCAGGGGCTATATACCCATGATCAAATTATCCACATTCAGTGTCTCTGATAGTGATGATAATGCTCCATCTTAAATGAATTAAGTTAACACACATTTGAAGAGCTTAAAAGAGTGCTTGGTACAGCATGAGCTCTGCTCAAATGGCACTTCCTACTGTTATAACTATCCTATGAAAATAGTAGGTCTTACCATTTCTCAGAAAGGAAAGAGAACAGTGTGATATTTGTGGGGTTACTATGGCCTCTTGAAAAACACCATTATGTAAAAGGCTGTTAGTGGACAATAGATTCTTTATGAGAAAAGGAAGAATTAATTGTACTTTTAGCTGGACTTGCTTATGTGTTCCAAGAAATTGCATGGCAAAGTAGATCTGTAAAACAATTCATATTTTCCCACACAAAACCAGAACTTTTTGCCTGATCATTTAAATATACGATACTTCTAAAAATTCAATGATGTATCTCAAAATGATAGGAATACAAATGAAAATATTGCTATGATGTAGTAAAGTATAATATATGATAATAAATATTTCATTATATTTAAAAATTATAATTCACATGATTGTTAGGTGTGTTTTAAACATGAGTAGAGCTCATTGACATTTCTTTCTAGAGCTAAACACATAAAGCAAGTAAAAGATGAAAGAAATTTTAGGGCACAAAATGATTGACGTTATTTGGAAAATATAGCATCCAAAGTAATACTACTACTATTACTAACAGAGATGTGTATGTGTACATGTGCGTGTAAGTGTACATGTATGTGTATGCACATTTAAGAATCAACAAGAAGAGTTTCACATAGGTTGCTTAAGAGTTACAGGATGAATAATGGGAATGAAGAAAGAGAAATAAAGAAAGTCTCACATGGACCCTTGAGTGATTTTACAAACTGATGTGTCTGATTAACTTTGTTCATTTGACTTCTAAGGAATATAGGAAATATGTACATTTTAAAACTAAATAATGAGAAACGTCTCATTGAATTATTTGATTGAAAATATGAGTTTAACCATCATACTACCTTCAATGAAGTAGAAAATCTTATTCAGTAAGATATATCTAAATTGATTCAAAGAGACATTAAATAAGAAAATGTCAGTCCTCAATAAGACCTTTAGAGGCAAGCATTTCATTTTCAGATATGTACAAATTATAAATTTATATTTGGACATAACTTGAAATATGTAATTGTCTTTAAAAAGCATTTTAAAATCAGATTTATTAGGTAGAGTGTTTGCCTAGCTGACACAAAGCCCTAGTTTCTATCCCCAGATTCATATAACCCAGGTGTGGTGATGTGTACCTGTAATTCTAGTGCTTGGGAGGACAGAAAGGATGGTTAAGAGTTTGAGACCAACCTTGGCCAAATTGGAAGTGTGAAACCAGGTTGGTATATATGAGAAGATTAAAAAAAAATCAAATAAACAAAACTTTTTTGTTTGTTTCAAAAGATTTAAGATAATCAAAATACTATCTCCTCTGGCCATAAAAAATGTAAAAATTTTCATTGACTCACTGGTAAACCAGAGAAATTGTTCAATACATCCCAGTGCTAAATTCTTCACTACATCATGACTTGTAAAACGAGTGATAATATTGTGTGTTGATCTCTTTAAATTGTCTCACAGTATTACAGTTCAATACTATCATGTCTGTGATAATCATACTCCAATAATTTTTAATAAAAGTTTTAGGAAAAATTTATGGAATGTCCAAATTGTTTTAAACAAATATTCATATGATTGACTGTATTTTGAGATAATTATTCAGAAATACTCTACCCTCATGTGTAGTTTTGAAGTCATTTGTCATCTTATGAAAACCACTTCTTTATTTTTAAGCATGGCCTCTAGGAATGTAAGTCTCGGATCCTCAAAATTTTTGTGAGATAGTATCTTTCTCACCAATTTTCTTTCATAAATAGCCACTAACTTGTGGTTACAATTTTTTAGATCTTGCTCATTAGTTATTTATAATTGTTTTACCATACACAATCCTTTCCTGGGCCTACTAAAGTTCTTTTTTAGAAGCCAGTGAAGAATTGTCATCAATCTCTCCTGGGACTAACCTCAAATACAATAATGAAGGCCAATCGAGCAGCCAGGATGTGCCAGTACTGTAAGGTGAACTCATAGGGTTTGGAACTCCAAGGGGGGCCTCTATAGTCTCGGTACCTGCAATCCACAAAGACAGAGAGCATGAAGATAGCAGAACATTCTTGATTTACTCAACTTTCAGAATGTTAAATGCTTTTATACATGTAAGGGGGAGGAGTTGAGGTGGCAAAAGCAAGCAGGAAAGATAAGTACATTATAGGTAAATACCTGCAGTAACCAGATTTTCCCATACCAAGTTCACTCAGGTCAAAGAAGGATAAGCTATTGTTGACATATCCCTTTAGGCAACTAGGAGAAAATAACAGGATTGCATGAATCATAAATTAATAAATTTCTGAAATATCTTCTTCCTTATGAGTCACAGGATTTAAATACTGTCATTGTTCCTCCTATTCTAACTACTCAGGACTCTTATTTCAACCTGTCCTCACTTCTTGTCCTGTCATTTCTTCTCAGTTTATCCCCATTGATTTTTACTTAGTTTATTTAAAACAAAACAAAACAAAACAAATAAAACACCTTTGTAGTTTCTGTCCATAAAACGTCCTGCTACTTGTTCATTTAAACTCAGTAAATCTTTTATAAACACATGCATGCAACACAAATGGCTGGTTATTAGTTATATCTATTTATCACCTAATCACTTATTTAATATATTTATTGTGCACTATACTTTGTTATCAAAATTCTCCGTGGTTGATATTCAGCAGTGAGCAAAACAGATAGTTACACACAGTGAAATAGCTGTTATCTATAAAGAAAGATAATTATTAGTCAGATGTGGTGGCACATGCCTTTAATTCCAGTACTCATGAGGCAGAGACAGAACTGTGAGTACCAGGTCAGACTGGACTACAGAGAGAGTTCCAGGACAGTCAAGGCTACACAAAGAAGCATGTCTCAAAAACAAACAAACTCAAAACAGGAAAGGAAGGATGGAAGGAAGGGAGAAAGGAAGGAAGGAAGGGGAAATAATTGTGATGTTTGCAGGAAAATGAATGCAACTGGAAATAATCATACTGAGTGACTGAGTCTGTCTCAGAAAGAAAAATTATGGCATGTTTTTCTCAAGTATATTTATCAGATTTTAGACAGACAGATAGACACATAAAATTATGTATGCAACTATGCTGTGAAAGTAGAAGTCAAGCCATTTAGACATACAGTTGGAGTTCCTGAGGGGGAGCAGCATATGGGACTATGAGGGGAATACACTCAAAGTATGCTTGCGAACCACACACTGAGAAACACTCCTAGAAAAAGCAGTTTCTAAAACCTGATGTAAGAATATGTCTATCACATTCTTAAGTTTGAAATATTGCTCACAATTCAGCAATAACTTCACTGTATTCCTTGTTGATCCTGAATCTTGTAACATCACTCAAACATTTTCTTATTGATATTTTCAGGTCCACTACTATCTTACCTCTTCATGATTTGCTCTGACATTTTCTAACCCGAATAGATCTTCAATTTCATTGCTAAGCATATTTAGAATATTATTAAGTAATTGAGTGTTTCTCTGTATATATGATGTCTAAGCCGCAAAAGACCTGCATCGTTTTGCCTGAAATTATTCTACTCCCCTGATTACTGAATAAGGAGATCTTAGGTGCTGTCCACAGGAAATTCAGGTTGTGAAATGTAAACTCAGTCAGTAGAATTTTCATCCACCACTAGGTGGCAATAAAGCTACTAGCAAGTAATTCATTTAAGAAAGACACCAGACAAGAATTCTACACATTTTACATTCTGCATTAACAAAAAGGCAATATATTGTTTTTTCACTATTGACACTGAAACATTCTCAGATACCATTTCATAATCACATACCCAATGAATCCTTACTGTCATAAACTGACCGTGTCATATAGTAATAAAGATGCTGTATATCTTAGAAAATGACAAAATTAGAACCCAAATTTTACGTGTCTAACTTCAAATTCCTTTAAAGCTCTTAAAGACCCCAAAATCTGTTTAAGTAAGCAGTAGTAAGATTCTTCTCACTCTTTAAAAAAGAAGAGACACTTGTCATCAAGGGTTTTTCCAGTGCTCTCAGTAAACATCAGTTCACCAATAGTTAATTAAGGGTCAATGTCACTCTAAAGCAAAGCTCCACCTGCTGGGGCTCATGACCTTTCTCCATTCCTATAGATTTTTCTGAGGAAAAGACTTTTTTTTCTTCACTCTAATGCCTTCTCTTTTAGATTTTACATCTAAGGCTGCACCTGCAAAGCTTTTAAAGTTGGCCTAACAGCTCTATAGTTAGTTCTCACAGGCATTGTTCCCATATACCTATCCAAAGGAAAAGTCTGAATTGACAAATATTGTCTAAAGCGATTGTCTGAATCCAGTTATTTTGTCTTCCGGAGACAACAGGCAAAGGCTAGAGATAACTATTGTAATCAGAATGTATGGACTGAGGTAACTGTAATGATATCACCTGGTCAGAGATCACACATGGTGCTTAGCACCCTGGAGTGGGCAAAACAGCCATCTTCCTAACTGGAAAGAATTACTTGAATTAAAAAGACAATGGCAAAACCAAACAAAAGCAAATGAAACCAACCAGCCAACCAACTAACTAACTAACCAAACAAAACAAACAACCAAACAGAGGAAACACTGCAGAGGTTGAGAAGTTGCCCTACTTTGAAATGTGTCTTTCAACTTTAGATGAAAAACACACACTAGCCACATATAAGGAGGTTTGTCTGCATCAGTCATCAGTCATATCCCTAGCATTATATGCTTTTAAAAAAATGTCTAGGCCTGAAGATTGCAGACTTTTCAGGCTCCATTTCTTCCTTTTTACTGTTTTCTTTTTTATAAGCTTCACCTGCTCTCTGCATAGCAAAGACACCTTGTCCCTTTCCTTGAAGAGTTTAAGTTTGATTTAGGCTCTCGAACTGGACCTTTCTAGAAGCATTAGATTTTCTTAGCATTATGACACATTTTTTTCAAGTAAAAACTGACTCCGAAATGAGTTGCTGTAGAAAGCAGTTTCTGTTCTTAGCCACAATTGTTTTTATATAAAAAAAAAACAAACTATAAATACAATGATCAGAAGAATTACTTTTTAATGGTCACAGAACAAAACTTCCCAGTTGTCCATTAACTGCAAGTATAAAATAGATCAGAAAAAAATAGTCAAATTTCAACCTTACTTTTCATTCTGCTTTACATGATTTGCACAAGGGCCATATTTGTATTCATAGACAAAACGTGGGATGTAATCAGATGTAATAGCAATTACAAATGCATTGGTGATCACAGCCAATATGCCAATTCCCTCAAGAATTCCAAGCCAGATACCTGGTAGGAGAAAAAAAATGAAAACGAGTGAATAAAAAGTGTACAAGATAAAAGCATTCTGGTTAATTTTACTTTGCAAAGAATATTCTATTTATTTTGAGCCATATTTCTGAATATCATTTACTTTTCTTTCACTTAAAAATTATATTAGATTGCGTGAATGGGTACTCATGCCCTTGGGCATCTGGAGAAAGCAGAAGAAAGCATCACATTGTCTAGTGAGCCACCCCAGTGTTCATGATGAGGTTTTAACTCTGGTCCACGGAAACAGCAGTAATTGATCTTAACAGATAGGCCATCTCTTCAGCCTCTTGCTACCTTTTTACTAGAGTATCTCACACTCCACATATTAGAGATGTTGCAAATACTATTTTTAAAAAGGGAAAATTGAGTCTTACCTATGTCAGTGGCTCGGGCTGGCAGAGGCCTCCTCCACTGGGTAACAAATTTATATGCATCCAATCTAATTTCTATGATATTGTTTAATAAAGCCAAAAGAGGGGCCAGGGGAAAAGCAGCAACAAAGATGGTAGTAAAACCAAATTGCAGAACTGTAAAACAAGAGCAGTAGAAAGTTATGGAGTAACATCCACTGAGTGCCTCACCATGCCAATTAGAAACACTGGAGAAATTACCTTAAATTATTGCAGTAGTACTACCCTGTAGCAGGATATTTTCCCCACAACATTTACCATAAACTTGGTAGTTTGGGAGGAGCTAATGTGGGAGGAGAGGATAGAGGAGAGGAAGAGGAAAGGAAGAGGAGGAGCTAGGAAGAGGCAGAGATGTAGGAGCCATGGAAGACCACACATGTATTAAGAGCAATCCTGGGTAACAACATACATCATAAGGTTAGATATTGGGACATACCTCTAATTGTGTGGGCATCTTGCTAATTGAGCGTTACCAAACATATAAAGTTTTTGGATAATCTTTAAGCATTAGAGTCTCATCTCTACTAGGTACCTCATGGATGGTGGGATGGTCTGGGCTCAGCCCAGCCTTGTGGAGACAGCGTGGGAGATTGGCAGAGCCATCTCTGCCAATGGCTCTGCCAATCTCCCACGCTGGCATCTCATGGGTGCCAGGGCTGGTGTTTTTGGCTGGCCATTTCTAGATGTAGCGTGCACATGGCCTCTGGCCATGGAACATGGTGTCAGAGCTAAACAGAGCCACCACCGCTTAGACAGTCAGCCCAAGAAAACACCGTTCTAAATATTAACTTTAACACTACCCACTAAATATTCTTATTTTTATAGTTGAAGAAACTTTTGTTCCTAGGTGATAGGTAAACTTGTTGAAAGAATAGATGGATAAAAAAATGTTAAAAACCTGTATTCCATCCTAGATATGGGCATATTTAATGGATACTCCCCAAGCCCACACCCCTTATAATATGAGAAGGCAGGGGGAAAAGATAAACAGAAAGAGAGAAAGAGAAGGGGGAAGGAAGGAGGAGAAGGAGAAGTATCAAAAAGACAGGCAGAGGAGCATTTCCTTCAGGAAATTGCTTGGCTCTGGCCAGGTCCCAAAAGACTTCCAATGCACTACCCCATCTTCTCTTTATATAGATGAGGATACTGAAGGTCAGAGTGTAATGAAGTCAACAATTAGACTGGGAGTCCATATTTCCTTAGTATAAATGAAAGACATTCCTGCAGAAACTAGGACTCAGCCTGGGTTTTAGAGGTTGGAGGTGATGAATAGGAGAGGAGCAGAAGGGGTGAATACGGCCATATGCTGTATGTTACACACATTGTGTATAACAAAAAGAAAAAACAAAAACATTATTTAAAAGTAACCATGACTTTATTTGAGGAGGATAATGTTTTTCTTCATAAGGAGATCTAGGTTTTTAGTTTTTCATCTAATATGTGCTCAAGATCCTGTTGTGGTGATACATGCCTGTAATCCTAGCTTTGGGGATACCACAACAGGTAGATTGTGAGGTTCAGACCAGCTCGAGTTGTTTATTCATCAAGTTCAAGATCAGTATTAAATACACTGTAAGAGCTTATCGAAAAAAAATAGATGCTAGTAAGATCTTATCTCAAAAAGAAAGATAAAAGAAAGAAAGAAAGGAAGGAAGGAAGGAAGGAAGGAAGGAAGGAAGAAAGAAAGAAAGAAAGAAAGAAAGAAAGAAAGAAAGAAAGAAAGATAGAAAGATGCTAGCTAAAGGCTTCATTGTGACAACAACTTCATTTTGACTAGATGCCATAGCGTCTTTAACATAACATAGGTGAAAGCCCACAGTGCCCCAGACCCTTGACAGGGTTAGGACAAATGTTCACTTGTGGTTCAGAATGCTCAGAGCTGGAAAGGGTATTGTCATTAATATTGTTTTCCTTTTGAACCAAAGCTCATGTGAACTAGGAAAAGCAACACCAACAAGACCAAACGATCCTGCAGAAAGTCTCTCCTTACCCATTTCTAAGTACTCATCCATTAGCCCATGAATGTTCATAGGCTGAAGGTTCCAGTCATTTTCCCACTGTGGTATGGAAGCATCCTGTATTCCCCGTTTGATTTTATGTCGTGACCACCAGTTTTGGATTAACCTGCCATTGGAGAGCAGACCAAAGACATGTGACCAGTTAGTGAAGCATCTGTGGGAAAATGTATATTTTTACTAAGAAATAATAAATTTCAACTAATCACTAGTTATTTCAAGTATTCCTGGAACTGAAGATAATAAATAGCTTTAACTTTTTTTTTTGTTTTACTGGATATTTTCTTTATTTACATTTCAAATGCTATCCCCTTTTCAGGTCTCCCCTCTGGAAACTCCTTCTCCTATTCCCAATCCCCTGGCCTCTACGAGGGTGCTCCCCCACCCATCCACCCACTACTGCCTTCCTGCCCTAACATTCCCCTACACTGGGGCATTGAACCTTCTCAGGCCCAAGGACTGCTCCTCCTACTGATGTCCAACAAGGCCATCCTCTGCCACATATGGGGCTGGAGCCATGGGTCTCTCCCTGTGTACACTTTGGCTGGTGGTCCAGTCCCTGGGTGGTTTTAACTCTTGAATAAGTAAAAATAAATATGGCCTTCCAAACATCTGGATATTTATTAGGAATCCATTGCCTTGATGTTGATTAGGTTAAATTCATTTCTCCTATCTCCACCTGTAAGAATTCTTATGTTGCCTGTTGTAAGGAGGCCTGAGCCACCCATTGCTTACTCTCCATCATTTTGGGGGCAGTTCATGTGGACATGGATACAATTATGTCCTGAGGGAAATAGCTGGCCTACTTAAACTTTCAGGAGTCCTGAGTTTTGGTCTCCATTATGTCATGCATTGTATGTGGGATTTTTGTCAACTAACTTCACTTCTTTGAGCTATAAAGACGAACACTAATAAAGGCATCCTGCTACTGTAGTTAAGAAGACTTGTCGGGCCATAGCTATGCTTACATGAGTCATCATCTGGCATCTAGAAAAGAAATAAAAATATTCTATCTTCTGCCTGAGAATGATACTATGACGTCTAGAGGTAGCCTGGTATGCAATGTGACAAGCTTTTGTATAACAAATTACTTAAGGATTTGAGAACAAGTTACTCTAGGACAACAAAATTTTTCACAACTCAGTGAAAAGAACCCAAGGCTCAATTTTAAGGAATTACAGATTGAGAATCTGTTGGAATAAGAAGTTCTCCAGTCAGCACACCACGGAGGCCCCTTCTGGAGACTCATGAAGATGTTAAAGGTCAGGCACACTAGAATCGATACAGCTTGCTTATTTCAATTTTAAGGTTTTAATTGAATAGGCATCTGGAAGCCAAACAGTGTCAACTAACTGGGACCCCTGGGAGCTCCCAGAGACTAAGCCACCATACATAGAGCATAAACAGGCTGGTCCGAGGCCTCTAGCACATATGGAGCAGAGGACTGCCTTGTCTGGCCTCAGTGAGAGAGGATGCTGTGTCTAATTCTGGAGAGACTTGATGTGGCAGGTTATGGGGATGCCTATGCCAGGACTGTGGGTGTGGAGCTCCCTCTCAGAGACAAACAGGATGGGGATTGTGTGAAAAACTCTGGGAGGGGAATCAGGAGGTGGGGGCAACATTTGGGATGTAAGTAAAAGAAACAAAAAGAAAAAATCTAAAATAAATTTTGAAAACTACTGCTTTGGTGATCCAGTCATTCCTGCTAAGTTTTCACCTGTAAGGCCCTTTGTCTAAGTCTTTGAAAAATACAAGTGGAAGATATCCTGCTATTTTTCCCTCAGTATTTGAAGTGCATGATTCAGGCTTACCACCTGGACAAGCTCATCATTAAAATGAGTATCTGATGTCTAACGAATACAATTGCAGACCACACATCATGATGATGATGATGATGATGATGATGATGATGATGATGATGGTGATGGTGATGATGGTGGTGGTGGTGATAATGATGATGATGCAAAGAATCCTTTTCTATGCTACAATGGCTACAACCCCACCCTGTTGGATTTTATAACATGCTCCTGAAAGACTTGATCTTGTGCCCTACTGTTGATATCTTATTTCCTCAGCTGTGTTCATAGGATACTTCCCATCCTCTACACCTAAAAGTGGTAAGCAAAGGAGAAGGGACATATAGCAAGTACAGGAGGGACCCTAGCCTTTAATTCTTCATGCAGGTTTTATTTAGAAGAGATGTCACTGAATTTGTTACATAACTTAAATATATAAATACATATGCATATATAAGTATATAGTATAAACTTCTCACAAGCCGCTTGTTGTTTAAAATTAAATTTTAAACTACATTGGGTCATTTCATTTTTCTTTTGCAAATTTCCTGCTTCACAAATGAAAGAAAAAAGACATCAGAGAGGTGACATAACCCTAATCAGGATTATCAAGGAATTGAAGCCAAAAGTAGGTAGTTCTGACTCCACCCTCTAAGTGGTAGTTTGACCACTGCTCAGCATGTTGCTGTGTTTATATGCCTTCTCCATCTCTAGGTCAGTGGCTCAGGAGTGCCATTAATAGGAAGACATGAGAGAAGAATCAAAATAAAATTTTATGAGTAAATTCATTTCGTATCATTAATTCACGAGGAAATCCATTTACATCATCAGTCAGCTCATCAGCTTGATCCTCATAGGTAAACATCCTCACAGGCTGCTAACATGTCAGTTGCTTCTAGTGATGTTTGTAGAGGTGGGGAGAGGAAGCATTATGAAAGGATTATCAGACTTTGTTCTTTTCAGCCTCTTCTACTTGATGTATTATTTTAGAAGGAAAGGAGGCACTTTTATTTAACAATAATGTCACCACCACCTTACATCTGTTGATAGCTCAGAGACACCAAAAAAGTTATTTTTATTTTTGAGACGCTGTCTTGTGAAGCATTGAGAAATAGCTAATAAGCTGAGCTAGTATTCTCTACACATTCATTCCTTCAACCACAACAGCTGTTCCTAAAGGTGACCTCACCATTTACCTTTTCTTAGACATATGAGAAATTAAGGCTCAGAAAGCCAAAACTTATGGGCAGTCACACATTTAGTCAGGATCAGAATGGTAGCTGACCAATCATCTCACTATTCATGAACCCCAAATTATAACTATATATAAGACACATCTAAAGTCAATGTGCTCACGGATATCCCAGCTCCATGAAATTGTTCCATATTTGCTTCAAAAACATGATGACTCCCATCTGGAGGCAGAGGTCTATCAGACAGCCACTCGGATGGCACTGAAATAGAACAGGGAGAGCCATAAGGAGACTGCTCTCTCCTACCCACCAAGCTGGCTCAAACAGCTCCAACTTTAAATTGCAAAGTAAATTGTACATCTGGGTCACATTTTCTCATGTAAAAATGGAAACAGATACAATGACATTGGGGGAAACTTTGGGTAATTATGGTGGGATTTAGGTTAGATTTTAGTGACCACTGGCTTTCTCCCAGTGTCAATCATGCACACATATCATGAATACTAACATGCTTTCTATATCTATAAATAGTAATTAGAAAGAATAAATCTGACATACTGTTTACAGTTTTTGTTTCTAGGAAACTCTAATTTCAAATAATTTTAGAGTTTCTGAAAGATTTTTAGACATTTTAATAAGTTCCTATAGATTTCTTCCCATCCAGCTCAAAGGTAAAGAATTACCAGCAGTGCCTTGTAATTAAGTAAATTACTATCGCCACTTTCATTCCCTCATCCCCCCTCAACTGTTGAACAATACAATCAGCATACTGCATGGCATATCTTTCATGTCTCCCCATTTTCTACTTTTTGAAATGGGTTTTTTGTTTGTTTATTTTTTGTTGTTTTGTAATCTTGAGAGATTTTGAAGATCATTGGAACATTCAGGCCTCTTTGTCTGGGTTTATGTCTGTGCTAATTTTTGCTGTTGCTTAGATTTCCATTCAGTTTTCATGAAACACATGCGCACGCGCGTGCACACACACACACACACACACACACACACACACACACACAACTTAATTGAACCCAGCAACCAATATATGCTGTAGAAACTGCACTATAAAAGCAATTCAGGTGGAAAACGTAGGTCTGCATCTTTAGAAATGGGATCATGTCCTGCTCATAAGGATGATTGTTCTATGGCTTTGATCCATAGTTTCTATTTCTGTCAAATTGGTACTAGTGGGACTTCAAAAGGAATAAATAGTTAAGACATAAAAGAGCCTCCTTTTCCTGTTCCAGCCCAGTGGCACAACAATCTGAACCAGAGAGTAGGTGTGCCCGTGGCCATGCTCATTGCACAGCAGGGTAGAGAGTCTATCATTCTAGCATCCTTCTTTTTAGCCTGAATGTATGACCCCTGAACTCGTTCTCATTTTATACCATAAATGTGCTGGGTGGAATATGTGAAGCGGAATCACTAAGACACAGGGGACATCGCAGTTCGATGAGATTGCTCCTCACTTTTGTGAGAGACTTGAGGGCAAATTGACATGCTCAGAGCCTAAGGAAAGAAGACTCTAGTCTCCGCTCACAATGCATCATGCTAAGGATAAATTCTATTTACCAAATATGTAAGTTGCCTTGGAGTGTAGTCATGAGATGCGTATATTATTATAAAAGGACAGGAGAAAGGAAGCAACAAGAAATACATGATTGAATCATTTCTGTAAAGTATAGGCCAAAGTTAAAAGGCAGGTCAATAATGAATATGTTAAAATTGAGCCTGGAAGAATGTGTAATTTATAAATCTCTTTATGTGTTCCATGAGAACAACAAAGAACAATGGTTTTAGTTTGTCCAATTCATATAGTGCAGGCCTTGAGCTAAAGTCAGTCCTTAAATACTCTAAATTTCATTTGATAAAATATACTTAGAATGTACAAACAGGCAAGAATGAATATGCATAAAACCTAGGCATTTGTGAGCAAACCAAAGTTCAGTGTTTTCACATATTTTCTCCTGTTTTGTTAAGAATGTGTTTAGGGAGAATGAAGGGAGCCTTAGAGTCTGTAGTCACTATAGCTCTTTTGAAGAAGGTTGGAAATAGACAGGACTGTTCTCTGTTTTACCTACTTTAGGATTTCTACTCTAAAGTCAGCTCAATTGTATAAGCCCACAAAATGTACTTTTATGGCTATGCTCACATCCCATCCCAATGGTGCCTGGGAAACATTGTTCAGAACAAGACTTTGAAGCTATACTGCTTTTATTCAGATCATAATTTCATCAGTTTTGTGACTTTATGCAAATTATAAAACTACTCTTTTTATCTACTCATCTATAATATCAATGCAATAATAATAATAATAATTAATAATAATAGAAGTAGTAGTAGCAGTAGTAGTAGAAATAGGAATAATTGTTATGAGGATTTATAAAATTATATCAGAAGAGCACTTAGTAACTATTGATGGAATACATCAGCATGTAGTAAGCGCTTGAAAAATGGCACTTTTGAACAATGTAATAATGAGTAATATTGTTAGTTTTGGAATACATTGAATTATATGATATTTTTTCTACATAGATATCACCTATCTATAGTGAGAGTCATAAATATGATGTAGCCATTTCTTAAAAGTTCTGACAAATTGTATCATTTTTCTTTCCTTATACTGGTTACTATCAATTTTGCCTTTTGATTGAAATGCAAAAGTTAATTTAATTTCACAAATGAGGGCACATGCTACTTCTTGCTATAACTAGTCATAACAGGAAGGAGCTAAGAGTCCCAGACAAGATGTCACCAAATTGGAAATTTAAGCACATGGACTACGAGAACCCAAAGACAAAGCATTTGTTCATTTCTGATGACATCCTATCCTACATGATTTTTAATACTATCAAATAAAGGCATAGGTTTGTCCATTGCAGTCCCTCCATCAGAGGCCCACCCTCAAGTCTGTGTTCATACTTGCTTCTTATGTGAATTGAATTCAGAGTGAATACTTATCCTTAATTTTCATACTTTATAATTAGAGATTTCTAGGGTCCATAATAAATTACATTGCTAATGTTATTTTTGCCTAGAACATTCAGTCCTTTGTGCATAAATATAGCTACTGCATATCACATCTATAATGGAAAACGTGGAGGAGGGTTATGAGATATTTTTGTGATACCATTATTATAATTATTTTTCTGGAACTTTCAAGATTAATATATACTTCCCACAATTTAGTAATCAATGGTAAAAAAATAACAATGATGATTATACACATTTGAATACAATAAGTGGTAGTGTTAGCTTTTAAAATGGCATCAATGTGCATCTACATGGCTATAACTCCTCTGTTCCCACTTTAGGTTTCTTAACTCACCAAGTCAAGCCACCGTGATAGAAGTACTCCTTAAATTACTAAGTGGGTGACCAGACTTTTGTTGAATGTCATCATCATTTTTGGTCATAAATAACAACAAAAACAAACTAACAGACATACTGATAACCAGAACAAAAGAAAACTGAAAAACCTGAGACTTCCGGGCAAGCTCAGGGTCATCACTGTCTTAGTGTCCATCTTCCCTCTCCCAGTGTCTTATTTATAACAGCCCATTTAGGTAGGGATTCATTAGGCACTCAGGGTCTGCATCAGGTTGATATCTTCAGTTTTCATCTCTCGAATGCTGGGGTTATAGGAATGTATAATGACACTCAGTCATTGTCTTTGGCCACAAAATAGTACAAATAGAGCCATGGTGCTAGAACACTGATAAGCATCAGCAACAATTTGTGAAGATTATCCCTTAGGCCAGGGTTGTGCTTATTGTGCTTTGTAAATTAACTCCTATCTATAAATAACTTGAGAACCTAATTATTACTACGACCATTTTAGCATGGAGAACTAGATAGCCATGAATGATGAAGGCAAAGAACAAGTTGTAATGGCAAATAATATTTGAACCCAGCTTTTTTATTGTAAAGCAGGAATTGTGAGGAAGTTTTAGGCTTCATCCATGTACAGAGACAATTTCTGAAACAATCTAGAAAGATATCATCAGTGGGGTTTTCTGATAATTTTGAGGAGCTTTGTATAGAGACTGAAACTATCCCTGAATTTTTCTTTTGTAAAATTTCTTAACTCCTTCTACATTACAACTTCATATTAAAATCACCATATGTTAATTGGATATTTTTTCGAATGGAATCATTATTAAAGTCACTTTTGTTGAGAGAAGGAACAAAATTCTGATGAAAACAGAGATCAGACATGGGCGTAGTTATAAGATATAAGCTTCAACAAACATAGACTCTGCTTTTGCTGTTAAATGCATAGCTTCTATTTGGTAGAAATACTTTATTATTCTTAGCATGAAAGTAAGTTTTGAATTAGTAAATATCACCATATTAGAAAATAAAATTAATAAACATAAGTTATTTTAAGTTCCTAGAATTGAGAAGAAATTTTATAGGATAATATCAATACTAAAATCCAATACGAGCACAATCATTTAAGTATAATGCCAAAAGTTTGACAAAGAGATTTCTCACTCTAGAAAGTACTACTGTTTGGAAGACAATTTCTCAGCTTCAGGGAAGGCTCATGAAATGCAGAAATCCTGTTTTCATCTTGTTTCAATGGGCTATATATATATATTATAAATCAATAAAGAAATAAAGAATATACTTTCTTCTCAGCACCTCATGGCACCTTCTCTAAAATTGACCATATAATCAGTCACAAAACTACCATCAACAGATAAAAGAAGATTGAAATAATACCAAACATTCTAGATCACCATAGACTAAAGGTAGACTTCAATAACAACAAAAATAAAAGAAAGCCCACATACTCTGAAAAATTCTCTACTCATTAATAACTTGGTCAGGGAAGAAATAAGGAAAGAAATTAAAGACTTTCAAGAATTCAATGAAAATGAAGACATATTCCCAAACTGATGGGACACAATGAAAGTAGTGCTAAGAGAAAAAAATCATAGCATTAAGTGTCCTCTTAAAGTAACTGGAGAGATCCTACACTAGCAACTTAATAGCACATCTGAAAGCCCTAAAAAAAAAGAAGCAAACACATCCACTAGGAAGAAATAATCAAACCCAGGGTTGAAATAAACCAATTAGAAACAAAGAGAATGATACAAAGAATCAACAAAACCAAAAACTGGTTCTTTGAGAAAATCAACAATATTGATAATCCCTTAGCTAAACTAACTAAAAGACACACTAACAAATTAGTTATCCAAACTAACAAATTCAGAAACAAAAAGAGAGAACAGAAACTGGGAAAATTAAAAAAAATTAACAGATCCTACTATAAAAGCCTATATTCAACAAAATTGGACAATCTAAACGACAGACGATTTTCGAGACAGATACTTAATAGCAAAGTTAAATTAAGAGCAGGTAAACATTCTAAACAGTCTATAACCCCAACGATATTAAAGTAGTCATTAAAAACCTCCCAACCAAAAGAAGCCCAGGATCAGATGGGTTTAGTGTAGAATTCTATCAGGCCTTCAAAAAAGAGATGATATTAATACTTCTCAAACTATTCCACAAAATAGAAACAGATGGAACACTACCTAATTCATTCCATGAAGCCACAGTTAATCTGATATCTAAATCACACAAAAACCTAGAAAGTAAGAGAACTAACTTCAGACCAATTTTGCTTATGAATATTGATGCAAAAATACTCGAAATTCTTTCAAACTGAATCTAAGAGCATATCAAAACCATCATTCACCATGATCAAGTAAGCTTCATTCCAAGGGTGTAAGAATGGTTCAGTATACAAAAATGCATAAAATGCATTAAAGTAATCCACTATATAAACAAACTCAAAAAAAATCACATAATCATCACATTAGATGCTGAAAAAGCCTTTGATAAAATATAACACCCCTTCATGTTAAAAGTATTTTAGAAATCAGGAATTCAAGGCACATACCTAAACATAATAAAAACAATATACAGCAAATAAACAGCCAACATCAAATTAAATGGAAACTTAAAACAATTCCACTAAAATCAGGGACAAGACAAGGCTGCCCACTCTTCCTACCTATTCAAAGTAGTTCAATGTAGTATTCAAAGTTCTAAGTTCAATAAGACAACAAAATTAGATCAAGTGGATACAAATTGGAAAAGTAGACTCAAGGTATCACTATTTGCAGATGATATGATAGTATACATAAAGGACCCCAAAAACTCTACCTGAGAACTCCCACAGCTGATAAACAACTTCAGCAAAGTACATGGATATAACATTAACTCAAACAAATCAATAGCCTTCCTTTATACAAATAATAAATGGGCTGAAAAAGTAATTAGGGAAACAACATCCTTCACAATAGTCACAAATAATATGAAATATCTTGGTGTAACTCTAACCAAACAAGTGAAAGACCTGTATGACAGGAACTTCAAGTCTCTGAAGAAAGAAATTGAAGACAACCTCAGAAGATGGAAAGATCTCCCATGCTCATAGATTGGAAGGATTAACATAGTAAATATGGCCATCCTACAAAAAGTAATATATAGATTCAATGAAATCCCTGTCAAAATTTCAGCACAATTCTTCACAGACATGGAAAGAGTAATTCTCATTTCATATGAAAAACAACAAATCCAAGATAGCCAAAAACAAAACAAAACAAAAAAACAAAAACCCAAAATCTCAATAATAGAACTTCTGGTGGAATCACCATCCCTGACTTCAAACGGTACTACATAGCAATAGTGAAAAATGTCACATGATATTGATACTGAAACAGACAGGTTGATCAGTGGAAGAGAATTGAAGACCCAGAAATAAACTCACACATCTATGGACACTTGATTTTTGATAAAAAAAAAAAGACAAAACATTCAGTGGAAAAAAGAAAGCATCTTCAACAAATGGTGCTAGTCTATCTGGCTGTCTGCATGGAGAAGAATGCAAATTGATTTATATTTATCTACTTGTTCAAAGCTCAAGTCCAAGAGGATCAAGGACCTCCACATAAAACCAGGTACACTAAATCTAATAGAAAAGGAAGTGGGAAACAGCCTTGAACACATTGGCACAGGGAAAAATTTCCTGAACAGAACACCAATACCTCAGGCTCTAAGATCAACAATTGACAAATGGGATCTCATGAAACTGAAAAGCTTCTGTAAGGCACAGGACACGGTTAATAAGACAAAATGCAACCTACAGATTGGGAAAAGATCTTCATTAATCCTACATCCCATAGAGGGTTAATATCCAAAATATACAGAGAACTCAAGAAGTTAGACTCCTAAAAATCAAATAACCCAATTAAAAATGGGGTGTAGACTTAAACAAAGAAATCTCAACAGAGGAATCTCAAATGGCTGAGAAGCACTTAAAGAAAAGTTCAACATCCTTAGTCATCAGGGAAATGCAAATCAAATCAATTCTGAGATTTCACCTTACACCAATCAGAATGACTAAGTTTAAAAGTCAAGGAACAGAACATTCTGGTGAGGATGTGGCGAAAGAGGAACATCCCTCCATTGGTGTGGGATTTTAAACTGGTACAAGCACTCTGGAAATCAATCTGGCATTTCCTCAGAAAATTGGAATAGTTCTACCTGAAGACCCAGCTATACCACTCATTGGCATACACCCAAAAGACACTCCACCATACCACAAGGACACATGCTCCACCATGTTTATAGAAGCTTTATTTGTAATAGCCAGAACCTAGAAACAATTCAGATGTCCCTCAACCAAAGAATGGATACAGAAAAATGTGGTTCATTTACACAATAGAATACAATTCAGCTATTGTAAATGAAGATATTATGAATTTTGCAGGCAAATGGATGGAACTAGAAAAAAGCATTCTTAGTGAGGTAACCCAGACCCAAAAGGACATGTATGGTATGCCCTCAGTGATAAGTGGATATTGGCCCAAAATTTCAGAACACCCATGATAGAACTCACAGAGCTTAGGAAGCTTAACAAGAAGGGAGGCACAAGTGTGGATACCTGAAACCAACTTAGAAGAGGAATACAATAATCACAGGAGGCAGAGGGATATATAAAACTAGGTGGATGAGGGGGAGGAAGGAGGAGAAAAGGATGGGCAGGATCAGGTATAGGGAGAGACAGGAGGGACACTCAGAGAGCCAGGAGAATGAATTGAAATGTGCAGCAGTTGGGGATATGGGCAAGAGGAACATCTAGAAAGTTTTAAAGACCTGGGATGTGAGAAGACTCACATCCCAGAACTCAATGGGGATGGCATTAGTTGAAATGCCCAATAGGGGGGAGATGGAACACGAAGAAACCATCTCCAGTAGATATGGACCCTAGTTGAGGAAGGAGGTCACCCTCCCATCTAGTGGGTGTAAGGTGGGGGTGGGTGGGCATGTGGGGAGCACCATCTCAGAGGTAGGGGAGTAAAGAACTCAGGGAGTAGGACTGGGAAAAGGGAACTTCTGAAATGTAAATAAGAATAATTTAATAAAGATTTTTAAAAGAAAAAAAGAATAAAATGTATAACCTCCCTAAAAAGAAATATGAATTTCTGCATGTGCACACATATTTATATATGACTGGTTTATGCTAGATTTGTTTTTAGACTGAATTTTTGTTTCATCAAAGGGAACATAACATATTTATATTTGGAAACTCATTCAATAGATGATAATACTTTTTCCAAATGAGTAAAATTATAGGAACTATATTTGTGGGGCTTGTAAATAGAAAACAAACAAAAGCAAACAAACAAACATGACTTAAAAAGTAATAAGAGAAGAGCCCAGAATATTGGTATTTAACTGCAAAATACTATCCCATTTTAAAAATAAATAAAGCTCCTTCCATTTTAAACAGAACAACCTCTACTCTTCCAAAATGTGTCTCTAACATTCTTGGATATCTTCCTTCCTCATCCCATTACCTCCCGCGGCCACTGGCCTGTATCCATGACCATCCGCACACCCACTCGCATGGGGTTACTTACTTCCTCCAGTCTCCACCGCTCAAAAAGTTTATTGTATTTTCCTGGATGGCCTACGAATCTGTAAAAAAATGTTTGAATTCATTAGCAACTAAGTGAAGTTCACCTGCTGACACATTACACAAAGTCCTTGTGTGGGTAGACAGAACTGGTGCAATTTGTCCCATGCAGTTGATATTTGCTAAGTTTAAACAACATCAAAGAAACTAACCTCAGAATGAGAAAGTGACGTATGAACTCAGTATCAATGGATGACGAAAGTGCTGATATATCAAACTGATGACATTTCATATTTTGTTCTATGTGGAATTTTAGTATTGTGTGGGCTAGGTTAATGAATACCATCTTAGTGCACAGAACGATTTTGTTCAAAATGTTTCTAGCTTCTGAATGTTCCCATGGTACTAAGCAAAGGGCTAACAGGGCATTTTAGTTTTATACTTCCCCCCCTCAGATTTCAGATAAAAGAATTCTGGTTTCTATACCAAAAAAATTGTAACTCAGGGATACATAAAAATTCCTTTCTTCTCAGTAAAATAATAATTAGTGATAAATGATAACTTACACATGACATTCTGTGTGTGTGTGTGTGTGTGTGTGTGTGTGTAAAATATAAGTGGTAGTAGCTATCAGAGGTTACTTGAGGAAGAACACATATAAAATATGATTAGAAAATATTCTAAGGCAGAGTGCAAGAATTCACCACTTCTGTTACCTAATTGGCAATGGAGATGCTGTTTGTGTTTTGTTTTCTCCCAGTCAACAGTAGCTTGTGCAAAGTTAACTCACCTCCCCAAAAAGAATGCAATATAGAAGATAGAACTGTTCAGATTGACAAACTGGAAGAGGAACATCTTCAAGGCAAAGCTGTTTTCCCATTCTGATTCTGTTCGTGGATATTCTATAAGAAGCACATACATCGACATACATGAGGTGAACCAAACCAAACCAAGAACAAAACCAAACAAAAACCCACCAATGTTCTACCTTTATAAATTTTTTAGTCTTCCAATGAAAAAGAAAAAGAGAACATATATAGGTAACAAAACAAAAATAAATGAAAAGATGTTGCATACTAAAGAACAAATAAACTCTAGCCACTGCTGAAAGATTCTAGTGTGGAAAGACCTGTTTAGATCGATCAAAGCTCCATATAGTTCACATTTGAAATCATGAAAAAGTCTAGGTTTCTAAGATTTAATTGGGTAAAATCATTCTGAAGTGCAATGTGTATTAAAAGTGAGCTATTCTGCTTTCTGTATATTCTGAACCAAGATTACAATATTTCTGGCATGAAGATTTCCCACTAGAAATCTGTATACTAGTTACCAGTGAATTATTTATTCTAGAATCCACACATATTCTGATATAGTTTCCTCTGGTGTTGATTTTGTACTTGAGCAATGTGACTCAATCTTGCCAACAAGAGACTAGGGAGTTCAGATGTAGGAGCACTTCTACATGTGTGTCTCCCCTTACAAGCTAGATGTTATGCGAGAATCTCCATTGTACTATTATACCCAAATACAAGTAGACATCCAGAAAGGGACATGGGAAAAGATGAAGGCTATCAAAGAGATCAGTCATCCCCAAAATACCACATGAAGTCTAGCATGCCAGTGAAGAGACCATTGTAGATGTCTATATACCAGCAGATAACTGCATGGACCAGGGAAACTGCCTAAAAAATTAACCTTGATTATCAAATTTCTAGCCCACCCCTCCCAAAATTATTGTCCTATGCTACTGAGTTTGTAATAACTTACTATGTATCAATAAATATAACGAGGGGAGTTACAATAACGACAGTAATTTTTGGTATCAGTCTAGGTTCTTTACCACAAATAACAACACAGTGATTTTCCAACATTCTATGGCATCTTTACATGGAGCAAATTCTGGCTCGTCTTGAATGAGCATTTAACTTCAAGGAGAAAATGAATTCTAAACTTTGACAACATAAACTCTGTTTTCTAGGCTAATATATTTATGGCCAAATTATTTCTTAGCTTTCTCTTAATGCATATAGTTATTGACAATAAACTAGCTACTGGTTATAAACTTGTATTTCATATCCACCACTGGCTATAAATTAGGTCCTTAAAATGTTAATTTCTTTGTTTCAAAATCTATTCTATATGTATGATGCAGTTTCTGAGTTTTAAGATGGTAATGCTACGACTCAGTTTGATCTCTAACAAAGCCTATACTTTCATGTCTTGATTGATTTTATGTCCCAGAATCTGGGTTTATGTAATTAAGGCCACTAATTACTGCAGATAATTGATTTTTTTTAAAAAAACAACTAATAATCATCATGTTACAAATCTCAGCAACCATAAACCTAAAGCATAATAAAACCCATGTAGGAGAAATGTATATGTAATTATTCCATCTTAAGAAGTGTCAACTGATTTAGTCATTTTTGGTGGCTTCTGAAAACAAAATATTTGGAAAAGTCTAGGAAACAAAACCAAAAACCATTGTTTAGACTTCTGTAACTTTGATTAGTAGGATCTAATTTCTAATATGAAGCATATATTAGCTTTTCCAAAGAGTTTTTAAGAAATATATACAATCATAGATTTTTCTTACATAAATTAATATCAATTTTTACTATGATTATTAACTTAGAACTGTGGATCCTCAGAAACCATGCCATCACTGGGTTATATGTCAAAAATAAATAAAACACTAAGCAAAAACTTTAACATTACTGATACTTAGAACAGCTATTTTTCCTTTTCCTATTAATTATAATCCACCCCCATCTTCATTTGGTTTTGTAATTCATCTGTTCTAGAGGTAAAAATATCTTTAAAAAAATAACATAGGTATCAGAGACAGAAGAGAGCTTTGAAACAATCTGTAAAATAGCTTTTGACAATATAGCTCAATTACTTTATTGTCCAGATGAAACAATTGAACTCAGAAAGGATAAATAAATGGATGATTGGCACTTTACACACACTTTGTGGTATGTTGGGCATGAGATCTACAACAACAAAATGGAAACTATTGGAAATTTCAATTTCTAAACCTACACTTAAAAGAAAAAAGAAAAAGAAAAAAGAAAAGAGCCAAGCTTGGCTCATTCCCTTAATCCCAGCACTCATGAAGCAGGGACAGGAAGATATTTATAAGTTCAAGACCAAACTGATCTACATAGTGAGAATCTGTCTCAAAAAACAAAACAAACCAAATCAACCAACCAACCAAACACACGAAATTACTTATAGTATTTCCTTCCTAATTGTAGTCTTCAGAGGGCAGAATCTTGGAATATAGCTTTTGTTCATTTTGATGGGTAAGTTGGGGGAAACTCTTATAACTGTTTAAGAAATGAACCTTGGGCTGGAGGGAGGTCAAGAAATGAACCTCTCTTTTTCACATTCTTTTCCTTATTTTTTCTTTCTTTTCTTTTTAAAGTATTTGTAATATACATATTCAGATTGACCCTTACTGAATCCCACAAGCCTAAGTATTCAAATAGGTATTAATATGGAAGCATCATAACTAATGAGATTAGGAAAAAGGAGAAGCCAGCAGATGCAAGAAGTCTGTTTTCTTGAAACTGAAAACAGTTGATATCAAGTAACTAAGTATTCAGCAAAGGCTGAAACTGAAGTCTGAGTATGGAGCTAGCAGTTGAAGAAGGACAACCCTCCTTAAAGGTTGCTGAGACATGCTCATCAGATCATAGAAGGCTAGAAGAGTCAGAAGTACCATGAAAAATAAAATCAGTAACAATATGGCTTGGAGCACCCAAAGGGGGAAGTTGTATGCACACATGTATTCTGAAAGTCATAGTTATTTTCCTGAATCAGCAGACAAGAAGAACCAAACAGAAGTACATGTATTTCTGAAGTGAAACTGCCAAATCTGAGACACTATCTAAAATTCTAACTGTTGGGCTTTTTTTTAAGTGATGGAACCTTTTACATATTATAGAGATGGATGGTAACCCGTAGACAATCATAAAGTGTCTTACGAACATACTTTTGTTTTGGTTTCTTGTGCTTGCTGTCAAACCTCACACCTGAGTTCAATTTCTGGAGCACACATTGTAGATGAAAAAAACTGACTTCTACATGGGACCATGGTGTGCAGGGACACACACACACACACACACACACACACACGCACACACAAAACACACGACAGACAGACAGACAGACACACAGACAGACACACAGACACACAGACACACAGACACACAGATATAGGTAATCCAAAATTTTAAGTGAATGACACTAAATATTTAGCTAGCACTTCAGAAAAGTCTTTTACAAGAAAGACATCAAATCATAGTGATAAAAACAAACAAAGAAATCAAACTCAATATTCAAACAGGACTAGAGCTATCTTTCTTCAGAACTAGTGGGTCAAAAGTAAAATATATCATGATGATACTAAATGAAATTCTGTGAAAATATTATCCTATCCAGGTGGTGGTGGTGCACTGGTACACACTTTAATCCCAGGACTTGAAAGCAGACGCAGGTGGATGTTTTGAATTTGGCAGCTTCGTTTACAGAGTGAGTTTATGAACAGCCAGGGCTAAACAGAGAAACCCTGTCCCAAACGAACAAACAAACAAACAAACAAACAAACAAATGAACAAACAATAAGGATAAAGAATGAAGTAAAGGAAAGAAAGGATTTTAGTCAGTGAATATAAGGTGTCAAGAGACAAGGCTATTGATCACAACTTTGTAGCTAGCTAGAATAAGTTGCTGAACAAAGATTTTAACCCACAAGTTCTCAGTCCAGAGCCTACACTCTACTTGATGGAAGAAGAAAATCAATTAGTTCCTACAAGGTTTTCTCTGACCTCCAGACATAGATCAAAGTATATTTATGATCCCCATTCTCAACACATCTCATATATGTAAGGAAGGGACAGTAAATAACTCAGAAATCTAAAAAAAAGAAAGCTTTCCAAGTAATGATGAATGTACATCAATTTCCAAGTGCACCTCTCTTTGGATAAACACTTGTATAACTGAAGACAAAAAAAATGGTAAAATACACAACATGTCTAAATGCTAATATGCACAGAGTTATTTACTTACTACAAGTAAAAAAAGAAAAATTAACTTACCTAAGTTTGTGAGGAGGTATGCAATTTTTTCATAAGCCTGCAAAAGAGCATACAGATAAATTTTATTCTTTTTTATATAGTGCTAGCATTTAAATATTTCAAAGAAGTGTCTAAAGTGTGTCCACAAGGTGGATACATTTTTAGAAAGTAGAAATATTTATTAATATAGCATGTAGTATTCTACACCTGAATATATACACAGAATGGCTGAACTATAAATGAGTTTAGAAATAAATCTGTATGTATACATGTAGACACCTTATTATCTGCCTTTTGTTGCTGTTTTTATTTTCATTGAATACCTACTTCCTAAACCAAGACAAAATTAACAAACTTCACTCAGCTTATAAGTTGCTGAAATGAGATACACAACTGTGTGCAACTCCAGCCTTGGGGGGTCTGATGCCCTCTTCTAGCCTCATCAAATCTCCATATATATGTGACAAACATACACCCAGACACATGTATATACATACAAAATAGATTAGAGCAAAACCAAATGGTAGTCATGTCCACAAAATTCAGAATTCAAGTAACGTATTTGATTACTTAATGAATGATTCAGATTCTCTCACTGTTCTTTCAATAAAATCTTTCCTGTTTCTTTTTAGCCATAACCCAAATCTACCTCATTTTAAGATCAATACTATCTTGAGACAAATTACATTAAGGTAATATTCTTTTCTCTCTAATGTGGGTTTTTGTTTGGATCTATTTATTTTTATTGATTTTTTATTTCACTCCCATTAATGAACTAATATTTTCAAATTTTAAAGCAAGATTACTTTGATTTTACATGCTATAATCATTGTGCCATGCTCTTTCCCATGCCATACATGTTCTAAAGTCAGATGACAATAACAGCTTCTCCAAGGATTTTAACATGATGGACTTTATTAGCTGACAAGTACCATTTTACCAGCCACTGTTTGTCAGTATTGAGCTGAATGGCCTCATGGAGATTGAAAGCCAAGTCTAAGTAGTTGCCATTTACAGCATTTCACACATGCCCACACTTTCCATATAGTAATTACAGAACAGCAATTTTGTCAAGTAAGTATACTACCACCATTTTCCAGAACAGGGAAATAAGACTGAAAATAACAGCCACATGGCCTGATAGCATAAAATACCTAGCAAGAAGTATAGTTAGAATATTCTGTTATGAGCACTTTCCACCATCTATTCATTGTCTTAGAACTTGACACATAGAACCCATCTACATGTCTGTGATGGAACATCTTTAGCTGGATGCCCAAGTAAATGACAATAACTCTGGAGGAATGTTATAAATTGTCGTTAGACATTTATCCAAGATAATTAAGATCTAAAGACTCTAGACTCAAGTGACAGAGCTAATCGGTACCACTAGTATGCTATACTACACATTCAGTCCACAAAACAACCTGTTAAGTAGAACTCTAAAGGCAGAAAGAACACATGACTTACATACATTCAAATGTTTGCTATATGGTAGCAACAGTGTTGAGAGAGCAGGTTGTGTGTGAATTTGAATATAAGGAGTGAAATGCCTGTATAATTGGGGGAGGAAAAACACAAGAATGATCAGGCAACTGTTCTGGTTCTAATCCCTGTGTGATGCATCTTGGAGAGCTTCCAAAATTACTGTCACATACTGTAAGCAGATTTTATTTTGACACATATTATTATTACATTAAACATTCATCAGTAATTTATATTATGTTAGATAGTATTTGGGGAAAAGCAAGTGATAGGTAATTATCCAGACTCTGTCTGTATTTTCATGGAGCTTTATTGCCAATGGGAAGGCACAAATGGCCAACACATATGTCATGAGGTAAAGCTTGGAGCTGGTGGCACACACCTTTAAGAGTGATAGGTAGATCTCTGTGAGTCAGACCAGCTTGGTCTATAGAGCGAGTTCCAGGACAGCTAGAACTACACAGAGAAACGCTGACTCTAAAAAGCATGTAAAATTTTTTACTTTACAGAAGGAAAGTCTCTTGAAGAACATGACACTTCCTTCAGAAGCAAGGGAGAGTGTCAAGCAGACATAAGCTTTGCGAAAATATCTTAGCAAAAATGAACAAGGATGCAAAGGTTCTGAGAGTGATCATCTCTGAAGGTCCTAAGATTGACAGTCTCTTCACAATGGGCCAAACGTAGGACAGGAGTGGCAAAAATAGCAGAGCAAATTAGTAATTATTTTATTGGATATTTTATTTATTTACATTTCAGATGCCATTCCCTTTCCTAACTTCCCCTTCCTAGAAACCCCCTATCCCATCCCCCCTCCTACTTTTTGCTTTTATAGCATTTTAATTACATGCAAGTATTAAGGTCAGTTCTAGGTTGAGGAACTAGCAATACAATAGAATAGATTCAAATAGTCAAGAAACATCCCTTGAAGGTTGCAAATTAGTAATTAATAAATCAGAGTAATCCCAGAGGGAAACAGGTTTTTAGGGCATGTTTGGCCCTGACAATCAAAATAGAATTCATTCTAAACTTAGAAGGCATCAGCTTTTAACTAATGCTTTGTTGGTGTATTACATAAAATATGTATTATATAAAAGTAAACCAGGGAGAAAGAGCAACAAACACAAGAAAGCCATCAAAGAATTTTGCACTTGTTTTAGTGTGTGTTGTCTCTGTATCAGAGCATGGCTCGTACAAAACAAAATTCTAAACAGATTTGCAAAGTCTAAGAGACTGATTTTCTAGTATTTATACCTTCTGGATTTCTAGAAAACATGTACATGGACGCACATTGTTTTAGAAAGTTGAAGGACTTTACAGTAAAGTTTTGCGTGAAAAAGCACAGGAGTGCATCTGCTCAGATCTTAATTCCTTCCTTCCTTCCTTCCTTCCTTCCTTCCTTCCTTCCTTCCTTC